GTCACCTACATCTTGGATGCCCCGGGGGGTAAGCAGATAAACATCAAATTTTCATTTTTGGGTGAACTAACCCTTTAACTCAAGCTTTACTGTCAAATCTGTATAAACAATAAACAAAAGAAAAATAAACAAGAAATGAACATGTAATATTATTAGTAACTGCACTTATTAATGCAAAACAATAGTAATTTTATGATTAAATTATCTATATTTCAATACTCCCGCACACCACCCCCAGCGCTACCAAATCTGCTCCTGGCGCTACCATCTGTACAACTTAGAGGCGCTGGTGCCACTGCTCTCAAATATTAGTCTGGAGCCCTGGACGTGACAGTAAATGCTTACCGATGCCAGTGTTGGCGCTGACCACGAGCATGGCAAAGTCTGGACAGTAGCTGGTTAAGCCAAAGATGGTGGTCTTGAGGTACTTGTGGTGGCCTGCCAGGTCTATGAAGGTGATCATTTTTGAGGCACTCTCGCAGATTTCCTCCGCCGTTCGGGACTCGCTGTAGTTCACCACCTATATAAGAACAGACACCGATGCATACTAACAGACACATGCAAAGTTCATGTTTAAAGCTGATGATAATTTAGAGCTGCATGAAAATGGTTAAAAATATTAATTTTTACATTTAATCAGAATTATTGCAATTTCACATTAGCATAAATTAAGAGAAGGTCAACTCGCATGGTTTGCCCGCAGATTTAGTAAACAACTGCATAAAAGAAAACATACTGCCTGTATTACGTTTATTTTATTTTATATTCCAGCTTACATGTTTTACAGGTATTTTCAGCTCATGAGTGCTTTTTCCATAATGTGGAGTGTGTGTGCATGGTTGCCAGGTTGGGAACAATAAGTAAGCCAATGTTCAAAACATTTATTAATTTATGAAAACAGGGTTTTAAACTCTTGACATCTGGCAACCGCAAACATGAACTCTTGTGGAGGCTTGTTACCAATGCAAGATAACACAAATGTCAAAGTAAAATGAAATGTTGTCAGGATAAGAAACCAGCAGGCAAATATTGCAGAGGATAATGATTAGAACCAGAAATCGTGATCGCGATTAAAATGAGATTTATTGTGCAGCTCTATGATAATCCATAATACACATTTAGGGTGAAGTTACGGCTGGGCAGTACATAACAGTAAAAATGTGTAAACAGTAAATATATTTGTGTGGCTATTAGTGGGCAGCTATTAAAGTGTGAAGAGTGAAAGAGAGGCAAGACCTAATGCAAAAATACAAATCGGGACACGTCCCAAACAAGTTCAGGCAAGCAAGAACTTGTTATAAAACGGGGTTAGGCACAATTTGAGCTTAGTTTGTTTACAGCTGCCAAGCTACAATGAAACTTGACATGCTATCATAGAAATAAACATATGTGTGATCACAGGAAAGCGACGCTCTTCAGGCAGTCTGCGCTTGTCTGAGGCACACAGCGCAACAGTTCTCACCTCTCCTCTGCTGTCGAAGCCCAGGATCTCAATGCTGATACTCGAGGTTCGTCCGGTCTGGATTTCATGAAGGTGTCTGAAGAGGTTGAGTCGCGCTCTCCCTCTCCCGTTGTCCAGCTCTCCTTGTGTAAGCACACCAAGCAGAGTGGACTTCCCTGAGTCCACGTTACCCAGCACTGCTACCCGCAGGTCCAGGAACTGCAGAAGCGTCACGTAACGCCATTAACACAGGCCTGAGAGCATCAAACGCATCAGAAGAACATGACACAAACACCAGATGCTTACCTGCTGATCATCTGGCACTTTCCTGACGAGCACCTCAGCGATTATGTGAGGCTCGTCCGAGTCGTAATCCACCTCCCTCTCTCTGAGAACCGTGATGTCTGCACCCACCCTGAACACACACACACAGCGGCTGTCACCCTCACCGAACCGGCCACGAACACAGCAGCCCTTCTCGTGACAACAAGCATACTTTAGCATACCAGAAGAGTGCTAATGACTGAAATAACACACTTCAAAAGAATATACTTCAGTGAAAACGGAATGTTTTCTGACACTTAACTGCAATTAAACGAAATATTAAATGCATGTAAAATGTAATTAGCAGAGTGCTTTTTTGACACACTTAAGTACATCTTTTATGTAATTTCATATTATATTTGAACTATGGTTACTAATAAGTACTACTGAAAGTACTGACAGGCATTTATGATAAACTATAATATACTTTAATATCATTTTCATTGAAACATGCATATCATGTATTTAAACATATCTGCAATTACACATTTGCAATGATGAATTTGCCATTTAGAACATTTAAAATATATTCATTTCAATTAAAAATAACACTTTACAAGTACATGTGTTTTTACATTATTCAACACAACAAAATAAGTGTACGTCTTTAAAGCACAACAAAAGAGGATTAAAACAAAGACTTAAAATGTACTTTATATAGAAAAACTTTGACATCATTACAAAGTGCACTTTTTAAATGTGTATTAAGTGCATTAAGACAGTCATGAAATGACCTTTTATTTCGTTAATATTATCTGAAAGTGCGTTTTTTTTTTTTTACTTTTAAAAATACTGCACAATCAATAGAATTAAGTGCACTACTTTTTCACAAGTGAGGTCATATTTCAATCGCTTTTGTATTTTAATATTTATGCACATGTATCAGACAGTACAACTAATACTACCATGATGGACACGCATTTTACAAGAATATTATTATGATTGCATGAGAACTTTCTCTTGCTACTGCTTTGAGGGAAGTATGACCTGTGCATGCTCCTGTGATATTTAATTTGATGTAACTATGAAACAAGATGAGTTTGTCAGGTTAATATTAGAACGCAGAATGAGCGTGAGTGGAGGCTGTTTGTGTTCATACCTCTCATTAGGGTTGTGACGGTGAGGAAATTTTCCCACCGGTTAATCGATGTGTGACAACACCGGTAATACCGGTATCACCGCGGGGGCAGGGCGTTCCCTCTTTTCCCTCGCTTTTAAATAGCTTAAATTCAGTTTTTAATTGTAGTGTCTGTTCTTTTACTGAACTAAATGATTTTTATTACTATAAAAAAATCAAAATGACGGTGGGGGTCGGTGCCGCGGTGGGCAAGTGACATAACCGGTGTTGCGGCTTAACCACGGTATCACCGTCAGCACCGTCTATCGCGGCAAGCCTACCTCTCAGCCATCCTGCGCAGTGTTTTGAGAGAGGCCTTCATGTCCTCCTCCGTCAGGCCCACCAGCAGCCCGTTGTCCTCCACGCCGATCTGATACACGGCCTCCCCGTGGCCCTCCTGCAGGCGCCACTTCATCTGTGTGGCCAGGTGCTCGAAGCGGTACTGCGTGGGGTTCACCAGCTTCAGCTAAAACACACACAACAACAACAACAATCTAGCTGAATGCATGAATGACAGTGTTTAGCTGAGATTTCGGCATCGGTGCAAATGTAATGCTGTGATGATGGGAGTGTCAGCACTGTTTTGTTTGCCGGCAGCAGCTGTAGTGTATAAAAAAAGCTCTGCTAATCTTCCGCTGCATGCATTTACACAGGAGACGCTCAGACTGCCAGCTACTTACAGTGCATTGTGGGTAACCCATGCGTGAATAAAAAGCAATGCAAAATATTGTATTCTTTCAACAGACGTTCATGTCCAAATCTGAGGCGCTCTGTTGTGTTCGGTGATATATTTGGTGAATATCTGTGCAGATGTTAGCGTGCGGAGAGTTTACCTTGTACTCAATGTTTCCCTCTTCAGCCTGAAACAAAAGACAGGGCAGAGTTAATGCTGAACCGAGCTCAAAGTCACAAAGGTCAGGATTCAAAAGCACAAAGAAGAGAAAGCGCCGCGCTGACGCCGCTAACAAAGTCAACAGATTTGTTGGCTCATTCAGAATAGTCACGTCTTATTACTTTAGCTGTCCTTTGAGATCAGACACACTGCATCAAATCACATTTTAACCGCATGTCAGGTAAGTTAAAGCAAGCTTTGCTATTGCTAATGTAAACGAGTCACAATTTAAGTACAGGCAAAATGAACAAGGAAAACAAACAAAAGCGTGGCGTTGAACATAGCCCTAGACACAACTCATTTGTTTGTATTAACAATCTAGTTCAACAAGTCCAGCTAATCATCTGACTGACTCTACTAGTGTAGAAGAAACAGCACTGAATCAGCATTCATTACAGTCCTTCTCTCTCATCTTTATTGATCGTTTGATGGCCATGCCTTGTTTTTTCTTTCTACTGAAGCTCTCCTTTATTGCCAGCCAAAGCAAGAAGTGAAAACCATGAATTCTCTCAAATACTACTGCAGTGTAATTATATGCTACAATCCAATTCTTATGTAATTATCAAACAGTTTTATAAGCTCAAACTAATGGACAGGTTATGTGGAATATATTTCCTTTAAAATGTATTTGCCACAACAATATAACAATTCTATTACATATATTTCTTTAATTATAATATATTTTAAAAGACATGAAGTTCTACTGTAAATATAGGCTATGTTTTATAAGTAAATAACATGATTATTTACAGGGAAAGGTGCATTTCCAGAATTTTTGTGTTACATTTCTGTGTATTTGATTTAAAAAGCATGTTTCTATGCTGCAATTTATATGATCCAGTTCATGTTTATTAGAATGTTAATAGGGTAACAAAGCGCTCAGCTATTTTTGAGTTGCTAGAGAGGCTACTTTTATCAAGTGGCTTTTAACATGTCTTATTATTAGCACATTTTACAGTAATAACCCTAACATATCTTCAAACCTCGAAGAGGCTGGCACATTGGCATTATACAATGTAATGACTGTATACTTTACGGTTTCATCTATGTTTGTTATCAACATTTCATCACGCAATGCTTAACCCACCATCACTGTATTTACAGTCACAAGCCCTGAAATATATATAAATATATATCTAATAAAAGCGGTAAACGGAAGCAGCGAGTCGACAGCTTGCTGGAAAACAGACAGATGTGTTTGAGCGCAGATAAACCAGAGCAAACTCACCTCTGGAGGTAGATAAGGCAGATTATTGCTTGCTTTTGGATATCGGGCTGAGCGGTTTTTGCACTTTTTGCTGCCGTTTTTGGCGGTTTTTCTGCTGGCGGCTCCAGAGCAGGACTTTTGCGCCGCAGCCGCGGTCCCGAAGAGCGAGTCCATCCCTGCCCAAACCCTGAAATAATAACGACATGCGACTGAAAAACCACCGCGTCTGACTACGCCATTCAGCCCGCCGCTTCAGACAGATATAAACACAAAGAGAGCGAGCGAAGCATCCTAAATAACTCGAGACGGCGGGCTCAACCCCCACGACACAACAACAACAACACAACTTCCGCTCCAAGTTTGCGGAAGTGCGTCATGCAAACTTTCTACGCATTACGTCAGGCGAAAGGGAACGAAATATATTTTCTTAGTTGGTTCTACTGTATTGTATAATGTTACTGCTCTTTGAGACGTCGTCATAAGGGGTGAATAGAATAGAATAGAATAGAATAGAACTCTCGTTCTCATAAAAGAAGACGGAAGTACTGTTATAATTTGAGTGACTGATGAATATTCATCATTTCGGTATGCTGCAATCGCCGCGTAGCTTGCATCAATAGCCTGCATTGTGTCACACAACAAAAAGTGAAACAAAAGATTGCTCTGCCTTTACATCAGTTTTGTTTTTTTGAAAAACTATGATCAATAACATACACCGAGTCTCTGGGGATTTTTGGCTTTCTGTTTACTTTGGAGACGGAAGATAATTTATACACTGTGTGCATTAGCGTTTCTTTAACTTCCTGAGAACGTGTTGTAGCATAATTCGTTCGAGAACCTTTGAAGTTGTTAAAAATGTTAAGAATGTGAACAGACGCCTAAGATATAATCAGTGAAATTAAAAACTGTGTGTATGGAAAGAAGATGACTCCCACAGCTTTAATTTCCTCTTGACCTCAGATGGTGACAAAAGGGATGGGCGTATCGATCCTAAGTATCAATATATATATATAAAATATATATTTTATATATAAAAATATCGATACTAAGGTGTGTTTTATTTACCAGTGATTTTGTGTATTTAAAATAATAATAATAATGCGTACAAATGCATTGAATTGGACGAATAACCTTTGTTCGCAAGTAATTGTGTAGGATAGAGCTATATTCCTGCTCATCTGAACACGCAAATGTTGCAAGACAGAACCAATCCATCACAGAGAGCGTGCACTCACTGCTGACAGTGCATTCAAACGGCTGCGGTTCCCAAAAGTATCATAAGAAAGAATCATGTGTAAACAAAAAACACATTTGAACCATGTGTAAACAAAAATATAACCTAATAAATTACAATTAAGGCATATCGAATGTTAAAATGTGTTTTAAACATAAAGTTAAGTGGTTATCATTACCCATTTTACTCTTAGTAATTTAATAATTTAATAAATTTCATCATTTAAAAGTTTAGTTCAGAAGTATCGTATCGATATCGACGATACTGCCTTGAAAAATATCGGTATCATATCGAAAACAAAACAAGTGGTATCGCCCATCCCTAGACAAAACTCACTTCAGCATATCTAGAAATCGCCTGTGCACTAATTCATGTTGACATTTCACACGGTATTTAGAACACTTTTGAGGTAAATTGATCTAATTTCGAGTTCGTCGTGCTTGTCCTGGTCATGACACACAGAAGTCATGATAGCTCTGCATAACTGATATAGGCTTATGTTTTATTTATTTTTTCCCTTTTCATTCGAAATATTCCCAAACGTGTTAAATATATCATGAAATATGTCGATTCTCAATTATGTGTAAGCAAATGCATTTTGCACCTGTATAGATTATGTTAGTTGATCTATAATAGGCGATGAGCAAGTAGCCTAATAGTGTAATCTATTAACTACACATAATAACCCGTATTTTTCCTTAAGTACCAGGTATTCCTGTCCTGAGAATACTGTATAGCAGGCAGCACTCAGAAACTTATTGACATATGTATACTTCAAGCAAAGCGTCTAATAGCTATGCAGCCTATTGGAAGAAAGTGGAAAAGCCACCCATTATACATCAATATTACATTATACATATATGTATCAACAACATGTCCTTTTGTTTGTCAATGGAAAGGATTACATATATTCTGAAAGGTGAAGTGTCTTTTTTAAATATTTGGAAACCATTTATATCCTTTATTTCAAGCTCAGATTTCTGTAATATAATGGAGGGAGAAAGAGATCAAATTATTTGATTCTTTTATCACCCTCAGCCACAATTTATTATTAAGCCATCAGCCATTTACCCCTTACCCCAAATTACCCCCCTTTTTTTTGTATCCCAGGTATGTATGACTAGTACTCCCATATTCTCTTATCGTGTAATGTTTTGAACTGACCTGTGTCCTTTTTTTTATTTTCTTCCCTTTTCTTTTCTTTTTTATTATTATTATTATATATTTTTTTCTCTCTCTCTCTTCTTGTGTTAGTTGCTGTTTTTCTTTTAGTATTATTAATATGTAAATAAGAGATCTGATTCAATTTTATGGCATTATACTGACATAATTTATTTCTCAATAAACAAATTGCTCAAAAAGTACCAGATATGGGTGTGTCATGCCATAAAATATTTTTAATATGACTGACTTTGTAGCTTTGTAACTGCGTCCTCTAGGGGTCGCTATGGGGAAACCTAGAGGACGTAGTTCGAAATTCCCATGAAAGGGAACATCTCAGGTTACTTATGTAACCATGGTTCCCTGAGTAGGGAACGAGACACTGCGTCCTCTAGGTTTCCCCATAGCGACCCCTAGAGGACGCAGTTCGAAGTTCCCATGAAAGGGAACTCCAGTTATAATGAACTGTGAAATGAATCTCTTACTTACATCGTTCGCACATCTTCACTCACCTGAACGCCTCTGATTGGTCATTGCATTCATAAGCTCAACAGAATCGTGTGTGATTGGTTATAATGCGCAGCGCTGTAAAAACGCATCTGTCTCCGGCTCAGCGCCAGCCAGCGAGCGCAGATTTGAATTTAGCTGGTGATGTGCCTCACTGAACGATCTAATCACGACGGTGTGATCGTATCAAATATAAAAATATATTATTCGGCAATTTTTTTTTCTTTTGGAAGCTGCATTCAAAATCCACTTGGCTCAAAAATCTGAGGGGGCAAGTGCACTTCTCTCCCAGGTAATGATGGGGGTCATGATGGCCTCCTTTCATGATTTTCATTTTTGTGCCATTGCAACTAAATTGTTAATTGTTTCCATTTGATTCTCAAAATAGTATGTTGGGTGTTGCATAAAGCTAAACTCAAGTGTAAATGTGTTACAGATTGCTCACGGGGGTTGAGCAACGGAGTGACTTAAAGGGGTCATATGATGCGATTTCAATTGTTCCTTTCTCTTTGGAGTGTTACAAGCTCTTGGTGCATAAAGAAGATCTATAAAGTTGCAAAGACTAAAGTCTCAAATCCAAAGAGATATTCTTTATAAAAGTTAAGAGTCAGCCACGCCTACCTAAAACGGCTCGTTCTAACACGCCCCCACATATCTACATCGCTCTGTGGGAAGATTTGCATAACGCCGCCCAAATGTTCACGCAAAGAAGGCGTAACTTTTATTCTCACTGTAGTATTGTTGCTGCCGCCATATCCTGAAGACGCTGTGTGCTTCGTTGTGAAAGTGAAACTACTTTGTTTGGTCTTCCAAAAGAGGACGATATCCGCTTCGTCATGCCTAGAGCTGATCTGTGCTGGTCGCTGAGGAAATACAACAGTATGGTGAGGGGCGTAACATTTCCGTCTCACGCTTGAGGTATTCGGCCAATCACAACGCACTGGATAGCTGGCCAATCAGAGCACACCTCGCTTTTCAGACCGATGAGCTTTGTAAAAATCGAAGCGTTTCTAAAAGGCGGGGCATAGAGGAGAAACAATAATGTACAGTATGTGGAAAATAATGTGTTTTTTTAAAACTTTTTTTAACTAAACACATTTCATTACACCAAATACACAAAATAATGTTCTTTTTAGCAGCATCATATGACTCCTTTTAAGTTAGTGATCACCAAGCAAACGGCGCAACAGCGACACCCGTCTGGCAATAAGAGTAATAGAAAAACTACCCAGCACCTGGGGAACATTTTTAAAAACAACCCAGTAAAATTACCTAACAGACTGAACCCAGCATTTGGGTAAAAAAAAAAAACCCCAGCATTTTTAGAGTTTAGGAAACATTTCATATCATCCAAGTAGGAAATATGGATATGACTAAAGAAATAGTTTCCCTAGCAATAAGCTGCATATTTGGACCATAACAAAATAGTTTTGGTTGTTTGGCTTTTATGAAACATTATTATAACTTATCTGTAACATTTCTACAAGATGATGATGAGTTAGTTATACAGTATCAGTTCTCAAATTTGATTGGTTGAGCATTACGAAAGTAATACAAGTGTGCTGACCTGATCAATTATCTTTAAACAAACAAACAAACAAAATAAATAAATAAACAAACAAACAAACAGAGTAGTCCAGTAGTCGAGCATCACAGCTGCCATGGGTCTGACTGTGACATCCACAGTAGGCCTATATACTGCCATTAATCAGAAAGAAAACCATTATTTCTTCAGTCTTAATTACATTTTACTGCAGTGCATTCACACCACAAGAAATTACAAGGATTTATGGTGTTAATATTCATTCTTGGAGGGCACTTTATTTGTGCAATAAATTGCAGATTTAAAAATGTGTAATGTTTTGTGAATGTGCACATGAAGCTGTATTGCATTCATTAATTTTCATATATATTCATTATTGTTATGTATGCAGCATTATGTGATGTTTGTTAAAGGGGTCATAGGATGCTGCATGCACTTTTACAAGTTGTTTGAACTGAAATGTGTGTTGGCAGTGTATGTACCACCCTATAATGATAAAAATCCACCGAGTGGCTTTTAAAAAAAAATCTGGTTAAATGTTTTCCCCTTTCTCAAATCGAGCCGATCTCAAATGCCTGTCTGTGTGACGTCACACAGACAGGCCCCTCCCATGATAGTTTGATTGACAGTAGCGTTTCAGCACAGACTGGACTGGCGTCTTACCTCAGATCAGTGGTGTAGTGGTGCCTGAAGAAGTGGGTATACTCTTAATTTATGCCCCATGACGTGTTATAAAGAGTGACGTGTAAAACTAGTCTTGTATATTTAGTTCACCCCAAAATGGGCCAGTAGTATTTGCATATTGTCACTTAACTTCTGCTGCTTGACTTCACGGAGTAAGAATCATTATGAAATTAAAATTTGCCACAGAAAAGGTGCAGATTTTACAATAATTAAAAAAAATAAAAAATAGACTGCAGCAATTAACATTTTGTCAGAACCTCTAGTACATTACATGCTATTTTGTTTAGTTGTCTGTTCGTATGAGAATAATGTTGTGACTATCAATTTATCCAGAATTTATCCCCTCATCCCCACCACCTTTTTAATATAAATAAGCACCAGTCAAGCTGCGATATCAAATAGGACCACAGGGAGACGCCAAAAGACCACTAAACCTGCTGTCTTGATCTTACTGTACATGCTACTATACGATCCATTCAGAATAACTAGACCAGCGCATAATCTAAAACACCTTCAGTCACCATCCAGTATAACACTCGTGCTTTTAAACCAAATACACGCTGAAAATAATAATTTACTGACATCTGGACTCGACTCTCCACAATCTCTGATGAAATCGATTGGGTTTTCTCTGTATTAGAGCTGTTTTGAACTTACTGTTTGAACGCATTCGTTTATTCTGGATCCTTGGACTGAAAAGTTTACAGGAGTTTACCAAAGACCACTAAACCTGCTGTCTTGATCTTACTGTACATGCTAATCTACGATCCATTCAGAATAACTAGACCAGCGCATAATCTAAAACACCTTCAGTCACCATCCAGTATAACACTCGTGCTTTTAAACCAAATACACGCTGAAAATAATAATTTACTGACATCTAGACTCGACTCTTCACAATATCTGATGAAATCGGTTGGGTTTTCTCTGTATTAGAGCTGTTTTGAACTTACTGTTTGAACGCATTCGTTTACTGGATCCTTGGACTGAAAAGTTTACAGGAGTTTACCAGTTTTTAAGCTATTGTTTTCGTTGTAATGTACTGATTCAAATTAGTAATCAATAATGAACAATTATTTAACCACTCTGCGCGCATCCCCTGACATGCTCTCGCGCATGAAGAAGAAGCAGCATCTCTGTCACTGTCGGCAATCGGCATCCTCTCTGACTGACAGAGCGGGTGAGGGCGCAGGCGCAATCATCAAACTTATTTCAAAGGAAGCCAGCGCCACGGTCCTGACCGCATCACTGTCTTTACTGGGTGTTTTTGTCAGCATAGCTCATTAACATTTAAAGGAAAATGCTACAAAAACGGCTTGATCTGAAAAGAGCTGTTTTTGACAGGTGCTTTTTACGCTACCATTGAGAAATTTTAACCAAACTATGTTACAGACTTTTCATTAAGACCCTAAAGAATCATATCAACTTGTGGAAAATGGCCATCCTATGACCCCTTTAAGAGGTATTACACAGTGTTCTGTCATGTTATTGGACTGCAGCAGAAATGCGTGTCAGTGTTTGTCTGGCGGGTCAGTATTTGCCTGGCGGGTCAGTATTTTTCTGGCGGGCGAGTGTTTGTCTGGTGGGCCACTGTTTGTCTGGTGGGCGAGTGTTTGTCTGGCGGGCCAGTGTTTGTCTGGTGGGCGAGTGTTTGCCTGGTGGGTCACTGTTTGTCTGGTGGGCCAGTGTTTGTCTGGTGGGCCACTGTTTGTCTGGTGGGTCACTGTTTGTCTGGTGGGCGAGTGTTTGTCTGGCGGGTCAGTGTTTGTCTGGCGGGCCAGTGTTTGTCTGGTGGGCGAGTGTTTGCCTGGTGGGTCACTGTTTGTCTGGCGGGCGAGTGTTTGTCTGGCGGGTCAGTGTTTGTCTGGCGGGCCAGTGTTTGTCTGGTGGGCGAGTGTTTGTCTGGCGGGTCAGTTTTTGTCTGGAGGGCAAGTGTTTGTCTGGCGGGTCAGTGTTTGCCTGTCGGGCGAGTGTTTGTCTGGCGGGTCAGTGTTTGTCTGCCGGGTGAGTGTTTGTCTGGCAGGCGAGTGTTTGTCTGCCGGATCAGTTTTTGTCTGGCGGGTCAGTGTTTGTCTGGTGGGTGAGTGTTTGTCTGGCAGGTCAGTGTTTGTATGGCGGGCGAGTGTTTGGCGGGTCAGTGTTTATCTGGCGGGTGAGGGTTTGTCTGGTGGGTCAGTGTTTGTCTGGCTGGTCAGTGTTTGTCTGGCGGGTCGGTGTTTGCCTGTCGGGCGAGTGTTTGTCTGGCGGGTCAGTGTTTGTCTGGTGGATGAGTGTTTGTCTGCCGGGTGAGTGTTTGTCTGGCTGGTCAGTGTTTGTTTGGCGGGCGAGTGTTTGTCTGGTGGGCGAGTGTTTGTCTGGCTGGTCAGTGTTTGTCTGGCAGGCGAGTGTTTGTCTGGTGGGCGAGTGTTTGTCTGGCAGATCAGTGTTTGTCTGGAAGGTCAGTGTTTTTCTGGCGGGTCAGTGTTTGTCTGGCGGGTGAGTGTGAGTCCAGAAGCTGATGTTTTCCTTGATGCTTAAATGTGCGGCTTTACAGTTATATGAAGATGGACAAATCACTCTGCCTGATATTCCTGTGGATCTGTGTGGGTTTGTGTGTTACGGGACACACGCTGCTCTAATGGAGAAGCTGGCAGACTTCAAGGTCTGTGCAGACAAGGACTGTTCATGTGAGTTACACTATTCATCACAATACACAACTAATACGGCATAGCTATTTTTAAAGACTTAAAAACTAAGATATTAATTATGACGAAGCTGTTTCCTTCTTTCATTGATGTTTTTAGCTTACATGTTGTTAGGAGGCAGGTTTCTTAGTAGCAGCTTAAACCACTTGTTGGTCAACAAGTTTTCAATAAACTGCATTTTCTTTCTGTGCAATAGTGGTGGGAATATTCACTTATTGTTTTGTTTTTTGTATTGTAGTATTTTTTATTAAGCTAAAGGGTACAATACATACAATATAATACAATACAATATACATTTAAAGTAGACAAATAAATCATACATCGAACAGACATGAGCAATAAAATACCACAGATGCTGAACACATAACAAGACAAAAAAGATATAAATATATAAAAAACATATACTTAACACTATACTCACTTTATTTAACAACTTAAATGCAAGGCACCAAGTATCCAATTTATCCACACCTTAATTTTATGCCTTGTTTCATGTTTCGAACTCAACTGCAGTCATTTTATTTCTTCGTGAGGCAGTCCTTTTCTCAAGCGTTAAAGTGTCTATTAATAGGTTGAACCATTGTGTAAAAGATATTTTATGCTTTCAATGGCTAAAGCTCTTGAAGACTACGAAGACTCTGAAGCGATTCAGACTGCAGAAACATAAACCTGAGGCGAGGCCAGATGATCTATGTGTTTTCTAAACTCAAGCCTGTAGAGGGAGCCGGAGTCTTTTGGTCTGGAAGTGTGCCTGTCTTTATATTTGACATTTCCCTCAGCTGATCTGACTGCAGACCCAGAAATCACAGCAGCAGCTTTGCTTTTGCAGGTCTACGGTGAGCGCTATGTAGACCAGATGGGTGTGATTGGATATTTCCCCAGTAACCATGTCAATGAGACAATGAGTTTTTCAGAAGAAAACGGTTGAGATCCCAACCACTGTAAGTATTTAATCTACTGCTCTTCACATTGTATTTTTTTATTTTGATAATGCATTAAAGGTTTTGTTTTCTCTCTCTCTTTAGGACATGGACTTCTTTTGCGCTTAAAGACAGCAACTTGCGCCAGCACTTCTCGTTTTTGAAAAAAAAAAAAAAAATATATGTATATATATATATATATATATATATATAAATAATAATTCAAAATAATAATTAAAATAAGAGCTGAATGTTCTTGATGGATCTTACTATTTTTAACTAATTAATTTACACAACTTTTCCAGTCGTTTATATTAAGAATTAAGGATAGAGATTTTAAATGTATTCTTTCTCACAATTTCTACATAAGAACATTCTGTTGAGCTTGGCATAATAAAAATGTATATTCTTTATAAAAATGCCCAAAAGTTTTGTAATTAGTCTACCTTATATATCAAGGTTTTCCAAGACATTCTACAAAGAAAAAAGAAAAAGAGGTTTAATTTGAGTTGTTTTAGCTTATTTTAATGCCTTTTTGACATATTTTAAACCACTGTAAGTCATCTTGAGGCCACTTTGGAGGTTTGCTGAAGCCCTCTTGTGGACCCCAGAACCCTGGTTGCTTTATGTAATTAAGATTAATTTTTTTTGTGCATTTCGACAAAATATTTTACTTTGAATCTGAAACTAGCTAAGGACTGTTGCCTTTTTTATCCTTTAACTGCCTATTCTGAACATTTCCAGTTGCTGTTGACTAAATGACATTGACTGGAATAGAAAAGTACAGGAAAGTATTTAATTACTTGTATATTATGGTGTATCTTTGGCTGTATATACACAACCTCTTGCCACAGTAAACAGGATGCATGAAAACTCTCGAGTAGATCTGAATGACTTCTTTAACAGACTGCATATGTAAAGAATACAGAGCTTCAAAATTGTTCAAACTCATGTGACACATTTTATAAACTTAACTTACTGCTGCAGAATATTTCACACAAACTAAAAAAAAGATGCATACCAGACAAATTAATTCTTATTTTTCTAAATATTGACCTCATGTATTCCCGTTTCAAGTTATTCACTAGTTCATTAGCTCATAGATGTCTGTGTAAATAAATAAGAGTAAATAAAGCTTGTTCCTGTGCGGAGGCCAGTGCTCTCTGTATGTGTGCGGATTCATCTCTGATATGTGCTCTGTCCATTCTGATGGAGTTTAATAGCAGAAAATTGAAGGTAATTACCTTGAAGAGCATTCTCTCTCGCTCCCTCTTGCTGTAGTGACATTAATGGATATTACGAAATTCAATTTGCAGTCTTGAATGGAGCTTTTGTTTTCCAGTGTCAAGCCTTTCAATTACTTACTGCTGTGTAGGCAACCATAACCTTATTTCATGTTTTGTATGTGGATCATAATTTGTCTGTAGCAAAAGGAACAGAGATAAAGACCAAAAGTGACCTCTATTCCTTTGATGCACTGTATCTGACAAATGAAACTGATAGTTTGAGCAAAAATGTAAACTCTGCCATCATTTACTCACCCTAGTGTTACTGATGTCGGTAACACGTTACATTAAGGTTCCCTTTGTAAAGGGTTTATTATAAAGGTGATCAATCATAAATGACTAATAATAACTAATTTACAAATGAATTATAAATCATTGATAAGCAGTTATAAACACATAAAAAGTTATTTTAACTCAATACCTGCCAAATAGTGAACCATTTTTAACTCGCATATTATAAATGTACATTTACATTTACATTTAGCAGACACTTTTATCCAAAGCGACTTAGAAATGAGGACAATGGAAGCAATCAAAATCAACAAAAGAGCAATGATATGCAAGTGCTATAACAAGTCTCAGTTAGCTTAACGTAGTACACATAGCAAGTTTTTTTTTTAATTATACAATAAATAAAAAGAAAACAGATAGAATAGAAAAAGAATAGATTAAGCTAGTGTTAGAGGCCTTTTTGCTTTTGTTAATTGTATAATAAATAACGAAAATAAATAGATAGAATACAAAAAAGAATAGATAAGCTAGTGTTAGTGTTTTTTTTTTTTACTAACAAGCAGTTAGTAAATGAATAGAGTGCAAGTCTTTTTTGAAAGAATATTATTAGAATAGAGAGTGCTAGAGTTAGAGGATCAAACAAAGATGGAAGAGATGTGACGTGCATTCTTTTCAGCTCATTAAAAATGTATCTTGCTGCCGCGTTCTGGATTAATTGTAAAGGTTTGATAGAACTGGTTGGAAGTCCTGCCAAGTAAGCATTGCAATAGTCCAGCCTGGACAGAACAAGAGCTTGAACAAGGAGTTGTGAAGCATGTTCCGAAAGAAAGGGCCTGATCTTCTTACCCCAGTAGTTAGATGTTGTGACTTGGACACCTCACCTCTCCAAGATATCTTGAAGGACCTATCTGAGAGATAAGATTCAAACCACTGGAGTGAGGTTCTTGAGATGCCCTTTGCCAATAGGGTTGACAGGAGGATCTGGTGGTTAACCGTCTCAAAAGCAGCAGACAGATCCAGCAAGATAAGTATTGAATATTTGGAATCTGCTCTTGCCAGTCTTAGGGCTTCAACAACTGAGAAATGGCTTGAAGGAGATGAGACAGAATAGGATCAAGCAGTAGTAGGATGAATAGAAAGGATTAGTTTGGAGACTTCTGCCTCAGAGAGTGAAGAGAAGGATGTGAACGAGTGTATGTTTGCTGGTACGATGAGCTTGACAGACTGTGGTATGGAAAATTGTGCACTGATGTTTTTAATTTTATTAATGAAGAATGTGGCAAAGTCGTTAGCTTTAAGAGTTGATGAAGGAGGGGGGAGAGGATGACAAAGAAGGGAGGAAAATGTTTTAAAGAGCATGCAAGAGTTAGACGAATTGTTAATTTTATTATGATAGTATGTCCTTTTAGCAGTGGAGACATTAGCAGAGAAGGAAGAGAGGAGTGACTGCAAAATATTAAGGTCAGTAGGATTTTTTGATTTGCGCCACACCCTTTCAGCAGCCCTGAGCTTAGAACGATGTTCGCAGAGAACATCAGACAGCCAAGGGGCAGAAGGGGTGGTATGGGCTGGCCTGGAAGACAAGGGGCAGACAGTGTCTAAACAAGACCTAAGAGTGGAGCAGAAAATATCAGTAGCACTGTTAGCATCAAGAGATGATAACTGTTCAGGTGAAGGAAGCAAAGATGAAACCATAGCAGATAGCCTGGAGGGTGAGAGTGAGCGTAGGTTACAATGAAAGATGACATGTGGAGGGGTATGTGTTGTGTCAGGAACCATGTTGAGGTTAAGAGTGAGGAGGAAGTGATCCAAGGTGTGCAGTGGAGTAAACCAGTACATGATCAGTGGAGCAGTGTCGTGTGTAAATAAGGTCCAGTTGGATGCACTCTCTTGAGATCAAAAGAGGCAAGCAGAGTGTGGAAGTCTGCAGGCTGATGTTTATCTAGGTGGATGTTGAAGTCTCCAAGCATAACTATCCTCATACCATCCTCAGGAAAGGTTAAGAGCAGCACATCTATTTCTAATTCATCCAAGAAGTTACCTTGTGGTACAACTACAAAATGGATTTTAAAAGGGTGGGTAATAGTGACTGAATGTGATTCAAAGGAGCTGTTAATACCCAGAGAAGGTAAAGGAATACATTTCCAATCATTAGAGATAAGCAGACCAGTACCTCCACCCCTTCCAGTCAGACAGGGGGAGTGGGAAAAATAAGAAATGATTGGAGAGTGCTGCAGGAGTAGCATTGTCCTCTGGTTTGATCGTGTGCTGCCTACAGTGTGTGATGCGTGGTTTGCGAGTGGTAGTAATAGTAAGGATATGAAAACACATAGTAAGAGTTGGTCATAAAAACTGAAACAGAACTGAAGCAAGGTGTAGAAAAGAGGACGAATCAAAAGCGATACTTATGTTCCTTGTCTGTGTCCCTGCACTGTGGAGTTGATGGTCTTTACACTCTTCGGTCTTTACATGAGGGCTGCCGCGACGCAACTTCAGCACGTCTCAACACAATAAACAAAACAAGCATTTCCTAGCAACGACAACTGCGCTAAACACTAAAAAGCTGCTTTTAACTTCCGCTGATTGACTGCTTCTCTCAAAGAGTATTTCTTTACACTGTCTTTTGCTAGCACTTGAACACACTTAACTGTTTATCACAACAAAGGGCTAAGCAAGCGCATGACACTGACAAGGTATGTGATAGAGTACGACACCAAACGCAACTTCAGCACGTCTCAACACAATAAACAAAACAAGCGTATCCTAGCAACGACAACTGCGCTAAACACTAAAAAGCTGCTTGTAACTTCCGCTGATTGACTGTGTAATGAGGTTCTTTAGTAGGGAAGGAAGAAGTCGGAGTCAGCGTGACTGAGGCTCGGGTAATTTATTAAGCGTCCCGTAGGAACAGCGAATACAAGCAGGCGCTCTGGCGCTGCAAAACAAACAAAACTTATATAGCACTTATATAGCCACAGTCTCTTCCCCACGAGTCCTCAGTCTGTCTCTCTCCCCCCCTGCCAGTCATTACTATAAATAATAATATCATCTAGATAAGCAGCAGCATATGTCACATGCGGCCAAAGAATCTTATCCATGAGGCGCTGAAACGTGGCCGGAGCCCCGAACAACCCGAACGGAAGCGTAACGAATTGGTGCAATCCGAACGGCGTGGTGAAGGCTGTTTTTTCTTTGGATAGAGAACGTGACATGAACGTCGTGCCTTGATCAGTGAGAATCTCCTTTGGGATTCCCACTCGGGAGATTAACCGAAACAGCGCGTCCACCACACTTTTCGCCGAAATGTTGCGAAGTGCGACTGCTTCAGGGTATCGTGTTGCGTAATCCACTAGGACTAACGCAAAGCGATGCCCGCGTGCCGACCGTTCTAATGGCCCGATGAGGTCCATACCAATTCTCTCGAAGGGGGCCTGCATTAGAGGTAAAGGGCGCAAAGGCGCTTTTGGGGAGGCCAGTGGGTTTACCAGCTGACATTCACGACAAGCCGCGCACCACCTGCGCACATTCTCGTGAATGCCCGGCCAAAAGAATCGGGCCATGAGACGATTTAGTGTCGCTGCCTGTCCTAAATGTCCCGCCATTGGATTACAATGAGCCGCCTGGAAAAGCAT